AAAATTAATAAATATCAATTGATGATTATAAACAATCACAAAAATATAAAGCTTTTAATAAAATCCTCTCTGGGTTAGGATTGATAACATTTAGCAGTAGGATGATACTCTGTGAAAGTTTAGAATATAATATAGAAGGAGAAAAAAAACACTTAAAAGAAGCTGTGGCCAAGATATAGTCAGACAAGATACTAAGATGCTTAACTTTGGAATTAAAAGGGGCAAAAAAATGTACTGTGATGAAAGTTTCTTAAGTTTGTGGCATGGAAATTGATTTTCTTTGCAACAGGTGGGTGACTTTCTTACCTAGAGAGCATGCCCAGAGGTGTAACATTAAGTGATCCCATCAGCATTGCCAGGGCCATCCCTGGAGCTTCCCGTTCTATTACTTCTTTTGTGGCCTGTAATTAAAGATTAAATAGCAAACTAAGTAAAATTAGCCAAATGAAAGGAAGGCAGAATAACAAAATTCACTTAAAATAATTATAAGCCATGCTTTCTGTAAGCCATACTTTCTAAGACCCCAAACTTTTATTTTTTATGTTTGGGATCACTGAATAAAAGCAGAGGTCTGAGAAAATCCAGAGAAGCTTTATATTAGCAATGTTTCTCATGTCCTACAGTTCAGAAGTATTTGATAGAAATTTCCTCTTGCCTAATACACTACATTTTAAACGTGATGTTTCAGATTGCTTTAACAGCTTAGCAGGTTTTCACAGTGCAAAAATCTGGATATTTTTCTTTGCCTATTTTTCACTGAGATAATTAGTTCCTGACAACCTAACACCATCTTCTATCCTTCCTAGCTCTATGATTTTATGATGAATAGAAACTCAAGAAGTCATCAAGTTAACTTTTTCTATGTACTGAGAATTAAAAACAGTATTTAAATATTTCATTAGAAGCGAAATGATAGCCCCAAATAAATTTGGAAAATTTGGCAAACTTTATGTTGAGAACTTGGCAATTAAAATTCATCTACTGTTTATTAGATGATAATTATTATAAATAAACTTCTAGGATATATAAAATTAGTTAATTCCTTATAAGTATACAGATTACAAGATTATGAGAATTGATGTGATATACTAGTCCACTGAATCCTAGTATAATCCCGTAAATTTAACAATGGCATAAATTTCAAAGGAATAAGTCTATAATGCTCCCACGAATTCAAGAAAACCTGCTTTAAAAATAGGGGGCTTACAGGCAGCAGAAAAGGATATATCTAATTCCTAAATTTGGGAGTATGTTCCTTTTATGTAACTACAAAGCTAATAGAGAACTAGGGCTTCTTCTTTCAGAACCTTGTCCTTACAAATTCAATCCATATGGTATGATTTTGAGGTCTCCTAAGAAGGAACATGGAGATATCCAGATTATAAATTGTTTAATTGAGGTTGACAACTTCTAACGGATCTTAAAACCTTATAAGCCCTAAAGATCAAACAAGGGAATGTTACTAACAATCTTAAAAGTGCTCTCTGGGTTAATATTTATTTCATTGCCTGCTTCAAAGTCATTATAAGCAATGGCTGACATTCAATGAATTTGGGATTCACAAAAAAGGTGATGATGGGCCCATAGTCTAGTGGTCTACTTTATTTAAGTACAAAGAAGGGAGACTTTCATTTAAATACATAGAAGCACAACATTTACCCAACAAAACAAAACAAAATTCATTAAGAATCTACTAACTCCTGGTGTAGCCCTGTAGGATAAGTAGCCCCTCCTTGGAAACCCTATGAGTTGGAACCGACTCGAAGACACTTAAAAACTACAACAAACAGGTACTAAGTAGACTCCTGGTATGACGCTGTAGGATAAGCATTAGAGTGCTAACCACAAGGTTGGTGGTCTAAACCCACCAGTTCTTCCTTGGAATTTATACACAGAGTAAATCTGAGTTGTAACTGATTCAACAACACTTAACAACAACAACGCACTAAATTACAGTTTCTAGGTTGTATAAATGGTTAACATGCTTAGCTGATAACTGAAAGGCTGGAGGTTGGAGTCCATCCAGAGATATCTCAGAGGAAGCGCCTAATAAGCTACTTCCAAAACCAGCTGATGAATATCTTAAGAGCATAGTTCTGCTCTGACACGTATGGCAACAACCATGAGTTGAAATCAACCACTGGTATGTACTAAGTACAAAGGGCATTAAAGAGTTCCTGGAAAACAGACAATGGATATTTTCCATGAACTTTTTCAAGTCCCCTTACAGTATTCTAGGCAATGTGGATGCCCTAGCGAATTAATTAACCTTCTAAGAGTATATAAACTCAATGTCAATTAGTACACAAAAAATTAAATTGACAAATTACACATGAGAAGAATTGCCTAAACAAAGTATTTTTGTTGTTAGATGATGACGAGTTGGTTCCGACTCATACCAACCTATGCACAACAGAATGAAACACTCCTGTGTCATCTTAACAACTGCTACGTTTGAGCCCACTGTTGCTGCCACTGTGTCAGTGCATCTTGTTGGGAGTCTTCCTCTTTGATCGAGGCTATTAAATTTTCTAGATCCTCTAAAACACACCGTTAGATTTGGCCAAATCACTGTCTATCTGGAAGGCCTTATTTTCATATAATTGCTTTATTAAACTTTAATTTTGAATCCTTAAAACAACTCAGTGAAACTCATATTTGCATGAAAGAAATCTTTGAGGCTTCTGTTCATATTGCACTGTGGTCCTCTTTAGTAGGACCTGTAAGAGAAATTTCCCCTCAGATCTCATTATTAGGAATGGGTACTCTTCTGTGATATCAGTTTATTTCAAAATTATGATTCTTATGCAACAAATTAGCCCTGAGGACAAAGAGGCACTTATGAATTCTTTTTAGTAAGCTTACAGAACATAAATGTTGTTGTTAAAGTGTCATAAAGTTAGTGCTGAGTCATAGGAACCTGTTTAGGATTTCCGAGGAGTGGCTGGTGGGTTTGAACCACCAACCAGTACATTGCTAATCCTACAGCACCACACCAGGGCTCTTTATGGATTTATATAAGGTAAAATATATATGTATGTTTTATTTATGTGAAATATTTATTTTAAATATATTTAAATATTAGAGTATGTAAATAAAATAAAAATTTAAATATGGAAAGATAGTTGGTTGGATAGATGAATATATGTATTCTTTCAACAAAGTTTCCAGTATTTTTTCAAACACAATTCAAGGAGAATAGTTTTCTTTCTGAAGATTAGCTAGAGAATTTTGGGCTGTTGGAGGTAATTATATTATGGTGATGCCACTGAAAGGGTTCTTGCTTACAGTAGTTAGTTGTGAAGAAAGTCAAACTCTCTATAGGACTTAACTTAAACCTATCATTTCATTAGAGTATTCCTAAATAATGGTCAAATAAAGGCATTTCAAAAAGTTCATTGAAAAATTCCTTTAATTCCTTTTTCCACAAACTCTTTGAAGTTCCCACTTACAATTTTTTTTTTTTTTTTTTTTGGTCATGGTCATTATAAGTTGAAATTGACTAGACAGCAGTGAGTTTTCTAGTTTATATCAAATATATCTCTTCCGTAAAACATTAAAACCTTTCTTTTTTTAAAATGTTCTTTCTCATAAGTTCTTTGGTGTAGCAGACAGATTATCATTTTTGAAGTCAGGCAACAGTAGAGAATTTAAGGTTTATAACTAGAAAGTGGATCTATTGTAGCACACACCTACACAAAACAAAGCATGTATTCAATAAATATCTGTTGAATAAGAGATTGGATTAAATCCTGTCTTTATCATTAAGTAACTCTGAGAACTAGAAAAAAATATCTAACTTTTCTTGGTTTCAGTTTATTTATGAATACAATAGAGATAATAAACAAAGCATACCTCAACTTTTTATGAGGGCTATGAGAACTACATGATACAAATAATCTCCTCGTATAAAGTAGGCGTTCAATACATGTCAATTCTCTCTATGCCTTTAACTTTCCAGTTCTCCTTACGATTTTGATCATGCCAGGCTGAGAACAGGAATAATACAACAATTCAGAAATCAAACCCAGAAACGGTATTGGGGATCAAAGAAGAGAGGAAAGAAGATTAAAGAACATTGGGAGCTGAAGGTCAGGAAACAGAATACTGTTTACAGCGGAATCTAAAGTAGGGAGAAAGCAGCCAAATGGAGTGGGAATTGGAAGACAGATATGAAGGCAAGGACTAGATGCAAAGATCTATAAGAAACTTATAGGGAGGCACATCTAGAAGGCAAAGAACCAAGGAATAAAACGTATTTTAGAATAAGACAAAAGAAAGATTCTCATCTAAATTATTAGAAAATCCTAAGAATGGTTTTAAGAAATGTAGCTTTTATCACTTTTAATTACACAGATCAGTACAACATAAATAAATAAGGGTTATTTGTGTCTGTGAATGAGTAGATAACAAGTATTCATTATAATAGACTATTCATTATCTGTGGCAAAAGGATGCTATTAAAAGTTTGAAACCATTTTTTGGGACTAAGTGAATGTTTTGCTTCCCATTTCCTTATTAATTTGATTATCAAATTCTTTTTTCTTAAGAGATAGTAGAAATTTATATTACTACTTCAGATCCCACGTTTTCTGAATTAATAGGTTCAAAATAAAAAGGCCCAATTGAATTTAACCATCTTTTTAAGACATTATCTTGAATTTCTAAATAATTTAAGTATGAAAGTTGTAACTTCTATGGAAAATCACATATTGTGATCTTTTTGTTTTACCCTTGACACTTTGACTATAAAATTAAATTCAAAAGACACTTCAGAGATAGCTCAAGTTTCAAATGGGGTGTCAAAAATAATGATTCTTTAGCCCAAGGAACTTGTCAGTGAAATTCAGGTCCATTCTTAAACTTCATAGGAAAAATTACCCTAAGAAAAAGTTATTGCTAAAGGGAAGCCAGGTGTGGGTAAACAATGAATTGTTAACCTCAAGGTCAGTAGTTCAAACACACCTCAGAAACCTTCTACCAGATTGCTATGAGTTAGAACCAACTTGAATGCACTTAACAACAACAAAGGGCAATGATGTTTAAATATGTACAGGATACAAAATAACTAAATTTAAATGTGACATTTTGCCTAGTATAGTGCTTTTATGAATCACAGTTCCATTCTGGAATCACCTTAAGTTTGAATCACCATAAACTGGAATTCATTTGATAATAATTAGATAGTGCTTCTATTTTTATAGACATACTTTTATTAACAGAGTAGAAGAATTTGCCTATTAATATTCACATGCTTATTACCTGATGAGGCCAATTAATAAAATTTCCTCTAAAAAATAAGAACAGTAACTCTCTGATGATTCAATATCAGAAAATAACTCTCTTTGAAACACCAGCTAATAAGTACTGTGGATTTTGGTGTGGTGCTGTGGAAAAAGCA